CATTCCCAGCTTTCCAAGAAATCTCCATACTGCTTTCTAAATTGGCTGCACCAATTTGCAGTCCCACCAGCAATGTACAAGTGTACCCTTTTCCCCACATCCTCGCCAGCACTTGTTGTTGTTTGACTTCATAATGGCTGCCAATCTTACTGGAGTGAGATGGTATCTTAGGGTGGTTTTGATTTGCATTTCTCTGACTGCTAGAAATGGTGAGCATTTTTTCAAGTACTTACAGTCATTTCATTAACAGTTTAGTGAATCCTGTGGGAAACGGCAGAGAGCACACTGCAAGTGGTGTCTGGGGACCTGGGTCCAGTCCCAGCTGTGGGGAGCCTAGGTACTTGGTTTAACCACTCCCCAGCCCAAGCTCCAAAGTCCAGAAAAGTCACACAGAGGTCAGTTACAACCCCCACCACATCTGCTGTGGGTCCCAGTGGCAGAAATTACAGGGTCTAGATGATGAATTTCATGACTGAGCCTGGCACCCTAGTCCTGCCCAACCCATTCAGCTACCACTTGCTGTCTCCCAGTTGGGTATCTTTTCTGGGACAGAGAGAGGCAACTTGGACAGATAGGTCAGTATGAAGGACTTGGAGTTAAAGAGTACTCGGCTCTTGACTGCTCTGGTCTCTCAGTGATCAAAGGCAGGTTGTGCCCTGCAGGTTTGGGACCTCTGGAGCAGTTACATTCATCCAGCTAGAAGTTCAAGATGTGCCAGTGTTAACAGGAGGGTGTCCTTCCCTGCCTTTTAGGCTGGAGATTTGTCTGCAAGACCCATTGCTTTAGGGTATATCTGTGCTATTCTAGGTGACAGCCAAAGTTTTAACAGACTGCCGAAAAGTCAGTTTCACCTGGCGGTGTCACTTGTTCTTTAAGAGAGTCATTTATTGTCAGATGAAGCAGCACAATGTCATGATTAAGAAGACAGGCATCAGGGTCTTCACCAGAGTTCAAAAGTCTTTCCTTTCCATCTCTAAGCCTCAACTCCCTTATCTGTAAAATGGCACCAGTGCCTCCTCAGGCTGGGGGTATTCAATAGCAGTGCAGGGGAAACAGCCTCAACCGCTGTTAACATGTGTGGGAGCACACATGTGCACACTGGCAAGAAAGTGTGCATTTGTTACTTTATGTAGATGCCATCTACATGCCAAGCACTGTGCTCCTCACTAGAAATGAGCAGATAAAATAAAGCCTCATCCTTGGAGACCCACAGTCTTTTGGAAGATACAGACAAGCCGCCAGACCACCATGGTAACACAGTAGGAGAGGCTTTGCTGGGGCTACATGAGCGATACAGAAATGCAGCTCATCTTGTCCTGGGCACCTGGGGACATGCACACAGAGGGGCTGCAGGAGGCTTCCTAGGAACGTGAGGACAGAGCCCAGCCCAGAAGTGATCCAAAGGAGGAAAAACCATTCCAGGAAGAAACAGTAGCAAGGAGGAGCATTCCAGATGCTTTTCAGGAACTGTGGAGACTATGAGGGTGAAGGTGGAGAGATATATGGCTATAGAACAGTCCTAGGTCCTGTTTGTCAAGGCTTCTGAGGGTTCCAGAGACAACTTATAATGAAATGCAAGACTGTGGATGTGACCTGTAATGGGGACTAGCTGATAATTCTATACATATCTATTTCAAAATGAGCCCACACCTATTACAAATCTGGATGTGAAATTTAACATATACAGTGATGCAATACTGTCTATTACAGTTACTTTAATTCCTTCCTCCCTCCAGGTGCAGCCTTTCACAAAGAATTCTGCAAAAAGCTGAGTATCTGCTAGATTCAGAAGGCCATGCCAGGTGTAGTCCCAGCCAACACACAGCTTACTCATGGGTTAGAGAAGAAAGAAGAGTGTTAGACACAGAGGGAGCTACCTGGGACAGAGCTGGGCCATTCAAAGAGCAAGATCAGGGAGGAGGCCTTCAGAGCCAGGACTTAAAAGAAAAGCTATTTGGTGGCACAGCTGAAATGCAAAATGTGCCTTGGATTGGCAGGCTTCCACCTGGGGGAGTTACTGGAGTTTAATAAACCCAAGCATTTGTTCATCTGCTGCCTGCTTTGGAAAATGCTTACATGACAGTCACTACAAGCTGAGGACTCCTGGGCTATTCTGGAACAAGACTCTGCTTTCCATCCTTCACCTTCTGCTAAGGGTTACAAACCCAACTGATGGCTGGCTTTGTTGGAAATCAACCTTCGAAGCCTGCTTCTTGAGGGGAGTGCCCTGAAAAAATGAACCCCAGACCCAAACTCCCATATCACCACAGCTCAATTTCCTCTGTAAGTGGGCATAAGTAATAATATCATCCTCCTGCAGCTGTGGTAAAGATTAAACTAGATCCCACATGGTAAAGCCTAGCAGAGTAAAGTGACATGGCCCAGGGAGAGTGGCTGAGCTGGATTTGAACCCAGGTGGGGACTCAGAGCACTCAGGGGATACAGATTGATGGAAGAAGAAGAAACCCTTTTGCAAGCTCAAGCAAAACACATGAGCAACTGCAACCTATAGGTTTTGAGAGCCGTGTTAATTCCTCTGGTAAATGCAACATTGCTCAGCTTATTTTTATGCATAAACATGTAGTACACTGCCTGGAGACCACAGGGGCTTTCAAGGCTGAAAACTGGATGACAAGTTAGTTTGGGGTTGCCACCATGCCACTGCACGGTGCTTTTGGTGAAAATGTCCATGTGGCAAAACCATTAGTCTCATGGGGGAAAGAATGAATGCAAGCACCAGAGCCCTTCTCCATGTGCTGGCCTGTGTAAGATTTATTAGCATAACAGCTCACATGGCTATCCTCTGGCTCTGGGGAAGAGTCTTCTAGAGACACAGCCTTCCTCTCCTGCTGCCTCTGGGAATTGTTAATCAGAAAAATCAGAATTTGGTGTGTATACAGATCATAACTTCTGATCATTTATGGTCTAGTGTGTTCCAGACCTTTCCACCCAATTGTGTACCTGTCATCTCAGGTACAGCCCACCTAATGCTTATATTGTTTTTGATTTGACCTCACCTATTGCAGCCCTCCCCTAGTGGAGTACCAGCTCCAGGATATAAGCCACTAAGCCACCACTGTGTGCCCGACCCCCAGTAGGATCTCAGGAACTCTGAAGCCATGACAGCCCCTCAAGACTTGGTTAAGCTTTGCCTTTGATCCTTTCCTTGCTCCTCTTGGGAGAGGTGAGCTCCTCACTGCTTGTCATCTCCCTGCCCTTATGTGTTGTTGCTGCTATGGTTTCCCTGTCCCAGGCTGTCCTTGCTGGCTTCTGGTCTGTTCCCATATAGGGTGGTGAGTTCTTTGATCTTTGTAAGCCCAGAGATGGAAGATGAGAGATTACTGTGATCCTCTTGCAAGACAGGGCTATCACACTGGGGTGAGGAGAGATCAGGAGAGGCGGGCATTACCACTCTGGGTGTCCTCTGCCAAGCCCACTCTTGTGTCATCCAATTGTTCCTGTGAGTTTGGTTATTGGGATGGTCTCTGTGGCTAGAGAGGAGCAGCAGGCATCATCCTCCAGCCAGCTTGGAGTGTCCCAGAAGTAACTCTGTTATTAATTAAGTTCTAGAATATATCGAGGAGGGTGGTCCCCACCAAGGCAACCTCCGAGGACAAAACTCCGTGGCCCTTTCACTTACCTATGCATTCTAGAACTTAGATGAATTTTAAGTTCTTCTACAGATAATTCCAAATCCCAGCATTGGTAGACACTGGCATGGAATATGGAATCAGACATGATATTATGTTATTAAATTATTTCTTTTCAGAAATCACATACATCCTTTCAATGCCTAATGGACTAACAGGTAGGATTAACAGTCTTCTGCAGGCAGTGCTTCTGTTTGCAGGACAGTACTTTCAGGGAGGAACTGTGTGACTGTGCAAACACCGCAGGGAGAAGTGAAGGGTGGCTGAGCTGCAGAGAAGGAGACGGTGGTCCAAATATGAGGCAATCCAAGGCTCTTGTGCATCCATAGCAGGTGCACCTTGCTACACAGATGCTCAGCATAGAGACTCTTAGTGTTAGATCAAAGAGACTCCTGGAGGGCTGCATTTGTCGATGCCAAGGGCTGTCTCAGCAGCTGAGTGCTCAGTTTGTGCAAAGAGGTGACTGGCCATTGCCTTTATTCCACCAGGGAAACCGTGTCCCCTCCTTGCTCCTGCCTGCAGCAGCCTGCTCATTTCTAAAATCCAGCAGGTGTTTCACTGGACCCAAGCAAGGAGTCCTGTGAATTAGGGATCACCACACGTAGCTCACCAGGGGGTGGCTGTGACAGACAGTGAGCTGCTTCAGAGGCTGCTGGGTGACATTCAGCTACTCTGTCACTTTCCTTGCCTTGAAGGGACTGTGCAGAAGATGGAAGCAACCTGGGGGGACCTCTTATTCTCATTCTGCATCGCTGTTTACGCCTCACCCGTTTTGTCAGAAAAGCTGGGCTCGTTTTTCTTTTAAAAACGATAGCCGGAGCTTTGCTGCATTCCATTGGATGGCTCTGTTACCAAGAGGGGGTTGGCATTTACTTCGGGAGGAACACATCTCTCATCTTTAGAAGAGGAAGGACAATGAATCTGAAGAAACGCATTTTGGATGTGGCTTTTTAAAGAATGTGTGCACCAAGCAAAGGGAGCCTACTTCAAAAATCCTTTGTTGCTTCAAGGTGCTCATAAGTGGACTTAAAGAGTTGAAAAGAGTTGCTTGGAAGGTTTTGCTTCCTTACTCCCCATTTGTGTTCTTCCTTCTATAGACACGTATGCTTATTGGACATCAGGTCCTATATTAACCATTGGGGTTCCAGCAGTAAATGCTGACTATGTTTGTTCTCAGCAAGCAAGTCTGGCCATACGCACAGGGCTGTAGGGGGCAGTCATGCACAACAAATATGAGTCAGCCTCCACTCAAGTCCTCTAGCACCCAGTCCTGAGTACCACCCTTTCCCGCATCCCCTCCCATTTCTATCTCCTTATTATTCAGACCAAGGGTGGAAGAGCTACCCTTACCTCTCAGTTGCTGGAAGCAAGAGGCACTGCTGTCTGGCTCCAGGGGGTGCCTTAGGACCCCATTGCTGGGCTTGGGCCTCTCATATTCTCTTTCTGGGAGCATGGCCTGCTCACTCTCCATGGCGGGGTCTGAGTGTGGGGGCAGGGACTGTGGGAACCCGAACATCAAGAGGGAGGAGAAGAAGAGTAAGGCACCGCAGAGCAGAAAGCCACCCCACCAGGCTCCAATCCAGCGGGGGTCGTCTGGAGTGATGTCCAGGTTACCTGCAAAAAAAAAAAAAAGGAGAGAGCACAGCTGAGTGGCAGGGACACACAGGCCGTGGAGATATTGCTGAGGACTTGAGCAGCAGAGGTTCAATGGCTCTAGAAAGAGACCAGGGAGGAGTCTTATTAAGGAAGTTGGGGCCTAATCCAACATGATGGAGAGTAGAGCCTACTTTATCTTCTATTAGGTGCAGGGTCTCTAGTTTAATTCCTAGGTCCTTGATCCACTTTGAGTTGAGTTTTGTGCATGGTGAGAGATAGGGGCTTATGTTGCATATGGATTTCCAGTTTTCCTAGCACCATTTGTTGAAGAGGCTATCTTCTACCCAAAATATGTTTTTGGTGCCTCTGTCTAATATAAGATAACTGCATTTATGTGGGTTTGTCTCTGTGTCCTCTATTCTGTTCCATTGGTCTACCAGTCAATTTTGGTGCCAATACCATGTGCTTTTTGTTACTATAGCTCTGTAGTATAGTTTAAGGTCAAGGGCATACTCTTACATTGCTGGGGGAGCTGTGAATTGGTGCAACCAATCTGGAAAACAGTATGGAGATTCCTTGGAAAACTGGGAATGGAACCACCATTTGACCCAGCTATCCCATTCCTTGGTTTATACCCAAAGGACTTAAAAACAGCATACTACAAGGACACAGCCACATCAATGTTTATAGCAGCACGATTCACAATAGCTAAACTGTGGAACCAACCTATATGCCCTTCAGTAGATGAATGGATAAAGAAAATGTGGTATATATACACAGTGGAATATTATTCAGCATTAAAAGAGAATAAAATTATGACATTTGCAGGTAAATGGATGAAGTTGGAGAAGATAATGCTAAGTGAAGTTAGCCAATCCCCAAAAACCAAATGCCAGATGTTTCCTCTGATATAAGGAGGCTGATTCATAATGGAGATGAGGGCTAGCATGGGAGGAACAGACGAACTTTAGATAGGGTAAAGGGGAGGGAGGGAAAGGGACGGGGCATGGAAGCATGAAAGACAGTGGGATGAGACATCATTACCCTAAGTACATGTATGAAAACATGGATGGTGTGACTCTACTTTGTGTACAACCAGAGACATGAAAAATTGTGCTCCATTTGTGTAATGTGAATTGAACTGTATTCTGTCATGTGTAACAAATTAGAATAAATAAAATGGAAAAAAAATAAATAAAAAAAAATAAAAGAGAGACCAGGGAGGGAGAACCGGCCACCGGGCTAGGAAACCCATCGGTTCCACGTCAGCGCTTCAGTTTCTCTCAGAGCCTGAGACTGATCACGTTCTCTCCTTAATTTTCTTGTCTACCCTGTGTTTATATCAGTCTAAACAAAACCAGTGAGAAGCCAGATGCCTCTGAATCTAAGCTGGAATTGGCTGACTTAGCAGCGCTGCCAAGGTGTGCATGTGAAAACACAAGGAAACATTTACTGTTGGAGGGTAGGCTTTCACTAGGTCTGTTCATGCTCACCCCCCAAACAGCTCATCTGAAATCTCATTCGAGGGCCCCCTCCCTGTCTTAAATCAGGTTTACAGCTTCCAAGGGAAGATAATGAAAGTAGACGGAGAGCACAGGGCTGGACCTCCATGTACACCCGAGATGCCGTGGTTGAAATCCTCGTATCTCTTCTCTCTGCAGGACTTCGGGCAGGTGGCTTAACTTACCATGCTTCAGTTTACTAATCTATATAACACTGATGACAATGACAGTACTTACTTTATGGGGTCACTGGGAAAATCCAACCAACCACACCAGCCATAAAGTGCTCAGAATCGTGTCTGGCACATGCTCGAGTAGCCAATGGATACTAGCTTGTTTTTTAGGGCTTGGGTCCTGCCAGTGGACAGGTTAATTCAAACCTTGTTGGTGGCCTGTGGTTTGGCATTGTCCCTCTACGAGAAAGCTCTGCAGCCAGCTCATGTGCTTAGAGGCTGTGGCTTGGCTTCACTGGACTGTTATTTTTGACTTGCCAGCTGAAGTCATGGGAACACAGACTACAGCCTTCTCCTTGGTATTTTTCCTTCTTTCTCTTTACAGCTGCCCTGCAAAGCATCATTCTAAGATGAATTGCTCTTTGATGATAAACCATGCTCCTGGAGCCCAGAAGGAAATTCTTGGAGACCTAGGGAATGGCACATGAGTTAGGACCAACTGGTCTGCAGGCCTGGACCAGATGGATGGTCAGCTCTGGAAAGAGTGATGACTGCAGACACCAGATGAACACTTCAGCATTTATAAAGTGCTCTCCCTGAAGACTCCTCAGCTAACACTAATGATGATGCCAGCCATCATTTACAGAGGGTGTCTGTCTGCACCAGCCATTATGCAGAGCACAGTCATATATGTCCCACTCAACCCTCCCTGTAATTCTACAAGGCAGAGAAATTTCATGACCCCTATTTTGCCTATTCATTATCTGATTTTATTTAGATGGGGAAACTGAGGCTCACAAAGGTTAGGTTCCCTGCCCAGGTTAAACAGAGTGGAAAACTATATCCCCAGTATTTGCCCATAAGGGCCCACACTCTACTACTCTGCTATACTATTGCCCTTGATGATCTGCACTCTGCTCCCTACAGGGATCTGGGTGAATGATTCCTTCCTGTGCTTTGTGCAGTGGGTCTAAGACCACCAGCTCTTTGGAGAGGTGGCAAGTTGATTCTGCAACATGGTTGATCTCTGTCCTTGATGTACACCCAGCGGCATTAACCAGGGACCAGATGTTTCAGAGAACTTGGGGGCTAAAACCCAGCCCTTCCCCTTATTAGCCATAGCACTCCCTGGGCCTCAGTATTATCATCTGCAAAATAAACATGGCATCCACCTACAGTAGTTGCAAGGATGAGAGATCATAAGAATCCCTGGCACGTAGTAGGTTTTTTGCATGTGGCATCTCTTATTATTTTCACGTATGTTTCTTTGTATACAAATGAGCAGTTCAATATTTGGATTTTTTTTTTTTTAAGAAGTTTAGGCATAGGAAAATACAAGGTGATCCTGAAAGCATTTTTATGCAAATGAGGAAAGAGAAAAGGAAGTGAAATTGCCTGGGGTAGCTGAAGAGGACTGTTTCACTAGTCACTTACTGTTTCTTCACCTGCTGCTAAGCAATGAATGAAAACAAAGGGAGCTGCCAGCTCCCCTCCATTGTCTACAGGCTCCATAAAGGGGGAATTGGAGCCTGGCAGATGTGAGTGATGAAAGAGAAAGAAAACCTAGCAGTTGTTGGGGAAACAAAAACAGTCCTATGTGGAAAGTCACAGGAAGTTAGTGACTCTGTTGTAAGTGTGAGAAAATATCCCGGGGAGAGGGATGGCAGTGGGGGTGGCAGGCAGCTGTTTGTGTAACCAGTGGACCTGCTCCTGTAGGTATGTGTATGTATGCAGAAACGCTAGGTTGGCTGGAAGTTTGAATGACAGGGAAGAGTGCATCTTCTGTGTTAGAACCAAAGCACACTTGCCTTTTGGGTGAAGCCAGAAAATGGGGTCTGCAGGGAGCTAGGTGGAGGGCAAGATTTTGTAGATCAGGAAAAGCATCATTGGCTATTTTGAGAAGTATTGATTCCCCCCCCCCTCCCCTCAATTTCAATTACCCAGAGCACTGTGGCAGGGAGAGAAAGACCCTAAGGGAGAAACCACTTGGCTCTGGAGCGTGCTGCTCTCTACATGGGTAGGCTTCATGACTGACTTCCAATCTGATTTTGGGAAGATGACTAATGCTTAAACCTAGTCTGGAAACTTCTTTTCTCCACCCATCTCCACAGTGAATAATATTTTTATGAGGCATTTTGGCTAGCTGTGGTGAAAAACTTCCTTCCACTTGCCTGGCAGTTGCCAAGGCTCAGTAGAGACTGTTCCAGAATTACTGATGCTGAGGGGGCGTTTCCCACACAGGCTGACAAACAATGGCGTGGTAGATGTTGACAGTGTCTGCATTCGGATAGCCTCTTCTTTCAGGGACAAGGGGATTACACTTCCCTTATTTTATGAAGTCTGATGTAGCCACGTGCCAGAGTTTTGCCCATGAAACATAAGCAGAGGGGACATGTGTCACTTCTGTGTGGAAGAATATACACGAACTGGTCTATGAGTCCCCAAATTTCTTCCTCCTAAATGTTATCTGACAGGCTACAATAAACGTGATTTCCTATGGACCTGCAATGGTTGTACAGTATGAATAAGAAATAAACCTTTAGTTTTCTAAACCATTGAGATGTCAGGGGTATTTGTTACTATGACATAACCTCTCGTACCCTGTCTAGTACAAAAGACTTAAGAAATAGACATTCCTGCTCTGTGGAGGCAAGGCTTGAAAACCTCTTTTTTTTTTTTCCTACCTGATTCTAGTTCATGTCTTGACTTTAAAAAATTACTGCAGTTTCAGCCTTTTAATGAAGGCTTTTGTCAGCAAGATGCTCAAAGCACAACAGAAAAGCACCAATCTATCTCATTTAGTCAAATGCATCAAATGGTCAATGAAGTCAGATGCATGGATGAAGAAAGATACTGAGCGGAATGAGGCAGGATGGTATCCCCAGCTGAGGGGAAATCCTGAGCAAGGAATAATTTCCTCAGAGGACTCACTTCCTTTAGCCACGTGTCTATAACTTGGCCAATATAGACACTGGTAAAACATGCTATTTATTTCAGGTAGAAATTTAGATGTATAATACAAACAAGAAACAAACCTTCAGTATTTTAAACCAGTGAGGTGTCAGGGGTATTTGTTACTGCAGCATAACCTAGAGGGAAGAACAGGAGCAGAGCAGGAGAGCTCCCTGCTGGGTGCACCATGATGGTAGGCCCATCTGCCAAGAGACCAGACACAGTTGGGCCTGGCTTTGCATAGAAGTCCCTGGGCAGAGAAGGGTCTTTTTCTTTATAAGATCCATTTTTCTAATGTTTTCCTTCAGGCATCTGAATCTGGGGATGTTTTTTATTATTTGCATTGAGTAAGCTGAGTGAGTAGGTGGCAGCTGTTTGCTTTCTCTGTGGAGGGGCAAGTGCACATATGGGGCCCTTTGAGAATCCCATCCATTTCCAATGTCAAAGTAATTCACTCATAATGGGATTTAAACCAGTTTAAAACCCATCAACCAGTCCACCCATGAAGAAACCTGAGATTGTGAGAAAAGCAGGTCAAAGCAAACGAGGACATTTCTACTTCTTCCTGGTATGTAAACATCCCTACAGCTCTCTGGGTGCCTTAAAAAAAAAAGTTCATTTACCTATTTGTTGAACTTATTTTGCCAAACTTTTGCTATGGGACTTCAGAACATCAGGAGTATCATTAATTTACAAACCTAATTAGAAACTGGAGACAGGGAGGGGTGTGGAGGGTGCCAGGGAACATTCAGGATCCCAGTCACTGGATTAATCAGTCCAAAATGAAGGGATCTGGCTGGCAGTGGCACCAGCTCTCTGAATGGCAGAGCAGGAGGTGCTCAGCTTGCTGACCTTTTTTCTGTGGAGCAAACAGATGGCCATATTTTGCTCCAGATGCAAACACCTTACAGCTGTCTTCGGGGCCAGCTGGCAGGTGCCTTAGGATATGGATGTGCTGATAAGGTCAGGTGAGCTCTGCAAGGCCTTTGTCCATGGAAGGGAGCAGCCTTCTGGTGAAAACCAGGTTTCAGAAAAGCAAGCTGTTAGGCTAGGAGTGGGTTTGCCTGGGGTGGCATCCGGGATCTATCTCATACTGGCTGTGGAAACTAGTTAACAGCTCAGCTTCCTCCTTAGTCTATCGTTTATTGTGTCCTTACTATATGCCAGGCACTAAGTGCTTTGAGGGATTAACTTGTGTCATCTGCACACAGACACGTGAGGAGTAACATCCCCCAGATCAGGAGTCTCGGGATTCAGGCCTGAGTCCTATGCCCAGACTCTTACTCTGTGCATGATAAAGCCTTGTCAATAGCAGGTCCCTTACTCCCATGATAAGGCTTTGAGTTTCCAATAAGACAATCTATGCGCGGCTTCAGTAAGTGATCAGTTTGGGGCCACTGCTGTTCCTGATCTTCACCTAATAAGTCCACACCGTCAAGGTTGGTCAATTCAACGATCGGGAGCACGCTCTGCAACTAAGTCCTCTCTTTTTCAAGGTCCTGTTCCTAACTGAGTTTTCATCTAACAAAGAGATCCAAATAGGGAAATCCTGCAAGGACCATCATTTCTCCCTGCAGCTCTCAGAGGAGTGATCTATTCTTAAGAAGAGAGGTAAAGGGAGCCCCATAGCCAACAAACAGATGAAAGGCAAGGGCAACAGAATCCCATGTCCAGGCCCGGCCAGGTGAGCCTCCAGAGGAGCTGCCCCGTGGGACCTCTCCTGCCACAGAAGCCCAATCCTACGAGCAACCCCTCCACTGCAGCCCCTGCCGCACCTATTCTCAGATTCCAACCAGATTTTGTTCCAGACTCTTCCTCCTGAGTTGCTTCCCCAGCTGCCACCAGGCTGCATGGGGGGAAGATAACTTCTTCCCCCACCCCTGTCTGCTACCCACATGAAGGTCCTCTGTGACCTACCTTGCTGCCTCCACATGAAGCCACTGCCTCTCCAGGCCCCCTGCTCTCAGCTGTGATTTTAGAAACATGTGGCTATATCCCTAGCCCCTGAACATTCAGGCTTCAGGTAATGTTCCTGCTTATTGAACAGTCCTAAAGCAAGGCTGTCTTTTAGATTAAGTGAGGAAAATACAGGGAAGGCATTAAAGTATGGAGAATCCCTTCCTCAAAATATAGCCAAATCCACTTATCGATGACAAGTTTTTGGTCACAAAATTGGAAATTATAAAAATTGCTGGAAACTGTAGGATTCTGTGGCTGACTCCATAACAGAATACATGGTGTTCTTCTGCCCTCTCCTGGCAGGGAGCAGCACCAACAACCAACCTCAGGACCTTGGAGAAAAGATGCAAACAAAGATGGTGACTCACAAAGCATCCTTCCATTTCCCAGAAACAGACCAGGAAGTCCCCTTTCAACTTGGAGTGAAGAAGACTGCCAATCACAAGATGCCCTGACAGAAGGGAAAAGCGCCCATCTGTCTTGTCTAGGGGAGGTAGCAAACTGACAATGAGATAGGAACTGTAGATGATATTGTTTCACACTGAGCCTTGAAGGGTGAGCAAATATGTTAACAGAATGGGATGGGAACAGCATTCTAGGCTGAAGGAATAGCTTAATCAAGCTGAGTGTTCTGAGAGTATACAAGTAAACCCCACCCTGCCAAGCTACCTGTCTATCACTTCTTTGGTTATTCTGGGTACTCTGAAAAGAGATCCAAATGATGGTACTTGCAGAATTTCCCTGTTTGGATCTCTTTCTCATTGGGGAGCTGGGTGAGAGCAATCTTGAAGTAGATACCTGCACGTTGGCTCAGGAGACCTGGGTTTTATTTAGATGCACCGTTCACATTGGGTCCCTCTCCTTCCCTTTCTGGAACTCAGTTTCCTCAATGGGAATATGAAATATTTGGAAGAGAGTGATACCTGAGTTCTTTCTGGCTCAAACTGTGGTCATTCACAAGCTTGGTTCCAGGAGCCATGGATTATATGCCAAAGGCAGAATATGTAGCCCAGCTACTTCAAGTTTCCCTCAGGTCAGCTTCCCCTTCCTTATCCTCCTCCCATCTCTTGTCCTGTGCTACAGCATTGAGAGCTGGCTCTCCTGACCTTACAAGCAAGATGACCGCTGGCTCTCTTCCTGGGTGTTTCTCTCACCAACCCACCCTTCACACTGCCTGCTGGGAGTGGGGTTCAAAAGGCCAGCCAGCTGTGGGAAGCAGTGGCATCCCACCACCTCCTAGCACTTGGCAAGAATAAATAAGGCTGCACTTGATTTTATTTTCCACTTGGAAATCTGTAATGTCATTAGCTACAAGTAAATATATCAGTGCGATTAATGGAGTGAATCACAAAGCGACTTGATTGGATTTAAAACCACATTATTTCTTTGGGGTGAATTAGTAAATTTAGCACTGTCGAGAGGTGATGGATCGGGAACCCAGGGACTGAGAGTTCTTATTGATCCTGAGAACAGATCAGCATGAAAAGTTGGTATGTCTTCTCCCTTTTGTTTTCAGAGAGGAACTGTGGCTTCACTGCTCATTGAACTACACAGAAACACAGTATTTTCTTTCAGGCACATGACAGACTTTTTTTCCACATGGGGTAGAAAGTGTCTCAGATGGTATTCAAAGATCCCTGTCCCTCAGTATTCATGTCTGTGTATAATTATCTCCTGCTCGACAGTGGAAGTGAACAAATGACTGGCTCCTAGCAAAGCAGAGTTCAGCAGATGTCATGAGGCACCAATTCTAGATGAGGTTATAAAAAGACTGTGGCTCCTCATCTTAGGTGCTCTCTCTTACATCCTCTCTTTAGGTATTTGCTCCTGGTGAAGTACCCCTGTAGAGGTCCAGGGCTGTCAGCCTGGAAATGGACCTTCTAAAGTTACCAACACCAAAGGCATGAAATTGGAAGTGGATCCTTTCTCCACTCGGACTTGAGATGACTGCTGACTGGGCCAACGCCTTGATTGTAACCTGAATAACTTAGAGCCAGAACCATCTACCTATGCTGCTCTTGTACTCTAGATCCACAGAAAAAAAAATGAGAGATAAAAAATGCCTAAGTCACTAAATTTGAGGTCATTTTTTTCACACAGCAAATGAATAAAAATAATATGTGTCATTTCTGAACACAAGTTTCAAGAGCCCTTGTGTAGTATGTCACAGACTGGCTTCCTGCCATGGCAACTGTATAAGTTGGGGGTCAGGATGAAGCTTCTGTTGAATGAAACAAGTCCCATACTCTGTAACACCCACAACCTATGTTGGACAGGGAGTGTGACCCAGATAAATTCTGGATGGATAAAAATCACTTAGATTTGGGAATTACTTGTGACCACAGCATCACCTAAGCCCACCCTGACTAGCACACTGTTCAATCACACAGGATCAGAGAGCAAAGTAAGAAACACATTTGTTCTTCTGGTTAAGAACACAATAGGTTTCACTTAAGATGGTTTCGAGTGGGGTGTTTCCTGACAAAGCCCATCACAACAGTGATTTTATAGAAAGGATTTTTAAGTCATCTGTCTCACTGATCCCAAAGGCAACTTGAACTTCCCATTTCCAGAACAGGTGCTACAATTTTCAGTTCAGCAAGGAAGGCTTTCATACAGTTAATGGGCCAACTTGCAATGAGTAAATGCCAGGCATTTCCTTCCACATATACCCTCTCACTTAATTCTTAAAAAGAGTTCTGAGACAGATGTGATTATTGAATTGCTTAATTTACAGATGAGGAAAATAAAATACAGATCTGAAGAATAAAAGCCAGCCCGTGGCACTGTGGAAGGTGGTGGAACCTTTACCATTGGGGCCTGATGGAAGGAAGCTAAGTCATGTGTCCCAGTAGGGGATATTGGGATCTTGATCTCTTTCTCTCTACCTTCACTTCCTGGCTGCCACGAGGTGAACGGCTCTGCTCTCACCATGATGTGCTGCTCAAAAGCAATGAGTCAACTGACCACAGATCAGAACCCCTGAAACCATGAGCCAAAGTACACGTTTCCTGTTTTCAGGTTGATTACCTCAGGTGTTTGTCACAGTACCAGAAGGCTGACTAATACAGGCCTATAGCTTAGTAGGAAGGTTTTAGAAGCCTAGAGGCTGAAGACTCCTTTACGAGGAAGGAAATGCTCACAAGTGGTGGTTAGAAATCAAGGTCTGCTCCTTACTTGTGTCAATGAAGACTGCATCCACGTAGATTTTGGTACAGAAAGAGCCCAGAATAAATCCACAGGCAGGTCCAAATACCAACATTGTGAACAGGATTCCTGAAAGAAGACAAAAGGTTAGATTAAAATCAGAAGCCATTTAATAAGCAAATCATCAAAGGTCAAGGAGATCATTTTATGTTGATCAGATGAGATGTCTGATTATTACAAATGATCTTACAGGAATGAGTCTAAACATCTGAGAGGGGAAGATCCAGGATTTCTCATTTTCAGAAAATCCATTAAAGTCCTGCATATTATGCCAGGATTTTATATTATTTTGATAGATTGCTTTGACACAGATATTTGTAGGCCATAGCACACATTCCTTTGGGGGACTTCACCCATCAATCAAACACATGAAAAAAAAAGATCCACATCTATCATTAATAGTTTTCCTGCCATCAACAACTTCGAAGGACTTTTATAATTTTGATTTCTGTGTTTATGTGGCTTTAGATAATTCATGGAATTCATGGTTTGCTAAGATTCCTCAGCACTCATTGTGCAAACTCAAGAATTCTTGCAAAGTGAGAAAAAAATGTAAGCCACAAATTATTTTCAAATGTAATGAAATGTTTATGTTCACTAAATTTAGCAAATAACAAAATTCACACAACGACATGCTTTGAGAAGAACTAATTAGGCATTTTACTAATTTTGATTTTGCAAGCCCCACCCCATCCCATTTGTGTGTCACTGTCTTCTTGGCAGTTACAGTTGTTCTGAGCTCATTTGTCCACAGGATTTGAGAAGATGGCTGGCTGTGGTCCATGTAGAATTATCTGATGGATCTAGTACCTGGAATTTTGTACAAAACTTTTGAATGATCCTAGAAAAAGTACTGACTCCAAACAAAAACCCACAAGTTGTATCTGTTTAACTCAGCTTCCTTTTTGATAGATATTTCCTGAATACTGACTGTCCCCCAGGTCCTGGCCTTCTTTTGAGCTGCTGATCCTGGCTGCCCACAGGAGTCCTGCAGGGCCCAGTGGGCCTGCAAAATCTCTGGCAGCTCAGGTGGACAGTGGCCTGCAGATGCAGATGGGTGAGTAAGGAGCATAGGGCACCAGCCAAGAGTTGCAGTTGCTCCAGCTCCTCTGGAAGAGGGCTAGGTTTCCATACAACTTGGAGTTGAAAAAGGTAGGGCACAATTTTTTTTTCTTTTTTTGTGTTGAGAAGACCATTTCCAGAGATTCAGCTGGACTCTCTGGGGGCCACTTTCTAAGTGGCCCTTCCTCAGGAGACATCACCAGGAGGCACCGTTTCCACTTCACCAATATCCCAGGGCAGCACCTCAGATAGTGCAGCTGCAGAGGGCACAGCCCTATGTCTTCAGGGAGAGTTGGTTCCTGAGGTGTGAGGCTGACCATGATCTCACAGATCTACTTCTGAATTTGCATCTGTGGCTCTCCACTGAATTAATTCTGTCAATCTGTGATTTTGTTCTTACTCATTTAGCAAAACCACCTCAAATGTTCTGCCTAAACGGATGAGAAACAGATTATCTCAGGCACTAAGATCCAGGATCCCTGTGTGAATAGCTAGTGCTTCGGGCCCAGGAGAAAATGCTCTTCTGCAGCCCTGTGCTGCCCCCTGCTGTCCTCCAGGCTCCTTTACATCCAGCAGAGGGGCACTGTGGAAGAGAGCCAGCGAGGGATAGGCTGCCTGAGAAATGTGAAGACACCTTTCTTTCTTTTACCCTGTGTAATGGAAAGCATTTTACACAGAGTCTCCTCTAATCCTTTCAATGACCCAAGGGTGAATTTACTGTGCTACCTTCACAGAAGAAGGAATGGGATCCCAGAAATCCCATGCCTTGTGGGCAGCACACATCCAAAGCTGCAGCACACAGCCAAAAGGGGAGGGATGCTTCTGAAGCCAGGTTTCCTGAGGGAAGAGTGTAGGTAAGGGCAGGGACAGCCTGGGTCCAAATCCCAGCTCCACCATGTCCTAGGTTTGTGAACCTTGGACAAGGTACTCCTTGTACTCCCGTTTCCTCATCTGTAAAATGAGGGTAATATGAGACCAGCTTCATGGGGCTATGGTCAGGATTGAATGACCTACTATTTACAAAGCACTTAGAATAGTGCCTGGTACACAGCACACAGCAAGAACCACAGAAGTGCCCATTAGACAGATGATACGTGTCTCTCTTCCTACAGTGTGCACCCAGGTCCATGGAACCCCTCTTTCCAGAGCTCATGTCACAGACAGATGACACCTGTCTCTCTTCCTACAATGAAGGCCAGTGTGCACCCAGGTCCCTGGTCCCCCTCCTTCCAGAGCTCATGTCACCTCTGTGTCTCACCTCCTGAGGCCATCATCAGGGAGATGAGCTACAGCTGAGAACAGGCCAGGCCAGGAGAAGATGCCTACTGGGAAGCAGCAGAGGTCAGTTTCCCCAGGACACACATAGACTGAGTGGCCTGTGTCTACTCTCTGCTTGGACACTGCTGGCCAAGCATAATGGAAAGCTAACCCGGCAGTCACACACTACTCATGGAACTCCTCCTCCAAGGTAGTTGGTGATTTCAACAGTGGCTCACACATATTCCTTTAGATGACATCTGATCTTTACAGACTGAGTTTTCTGCAAAAACTGAGTCTTCTGAGAAAAAGTACTTATGTAAATCAGTTGGAACAGGAAATGAGGATGGCAAATCTAATCTGATTCCAAGGTTTGAGAAGCTATGTTATTTCCAGCCCCTGTAAGAGATTAAGGTTAAAGATAAAAATAGTTTTATTTAATGTATATGTGTATTATTTTTTCAAATAGCTACTATGTTGTTAGGACATAATATCTAGTTTGAGCCTAACTGCTTAATAAATAAGACCATCAACTAATTCATGTAGATTCACTGAGAAATACAGTTGAGACACTGTCAAAGTGAATGGGGAAGTTTGGGAACCACAGGTGCAAATTTTCCTGAGAAGCTGATTATCTCAACCTGTGCTCAGAGGTTGAAGGGGTTTCTGGATGTGCCAGATTAGCCCAAGTAGGGACTGTGAGAAATTCCTGCAGGAAATGGCACCCTGCTGGTGAGCTTGCCTCCTCTCATGCTAGACAGTCTTTAGATTGAGCACCAGCTGCTTTGAAGCCCTGGGGAAGAAGAGATGAACTGGACAAGGAGATCCTGTCCTCAAGAAATTTGCTGTTTTACTGGAGAGACTACCAACCACTGTTAGTGGATCAAAAAATATGTGTCAAACACATAGTGCATGCCAGGTAGTGTGATATGGCAGTGAATGGAACAGACAAAATCCCTGCCCTTATGGGGTTTGCATTCTGCAGGATGAAGAGAATCAAACCGGCTTTTGGAATGCTGCCAGGAGCAGCTTAGGACAAGAATTGGAGCATAGAGAGATGCTCTGCCCCCACCTAGCCCTACAAGGTGCTGCTGGGCCAGGTGTGCCTTGAAGCGCGGGGAGTACACTCACAGTTGACTCAGCCTCTGCTAGTAGGCAGAATGATGGCCTCAAAGATGCCCATAGCCACATCCCTGGAAACTGGGACTGTGGTCTTAAATGACTAAAGGGAATTAAGGTTGCAGATGGAATTAAAGTTTCTAATCAGGTAACCTTAAAGAGATTATACTGGATCATCCCCAACATAATCACAAGGGTCCTTTAAATGTGGAAGAGGGAGGCAGAGGAGTCAGCTGGAACTGTGGCGACAGAACCAGAGAGATGGCCTCATGAAAAAGACTGGACGAGTCACGCTGCCATGAAGTGGCGGGAGCTCAGGGGCCAAGCACACAAGCAGCCTCTAAAGGCTGGGAAAAGGCAAGAAAATGGATTTGCCCTCCAGAAGCGACCTCAGCCCTGCCAAATTACCTTGATTTTAGTTTTAGTGAGACCCCGTGCTGACTTCTGACCTCCAGAAGCGTAAGATAAATCTGTGTTAAGTCACCGTTTTTAGTAATTTATTAATAGCAGCAATAGGAAACTAATACAATCAGTGGGCAACTTGGGGAGGTGCTGGGCTAAAGGCTAAACGCCTTGGTCTCATAGCTGTGAACATGCACGAACAGGGTGCTACAGGAAGCTCTTCTGTTATCTGACTAAGGAACTTTTTTTTTTTTGTATGTGAGTGGGTCACTTCTAAGACATGGTGTTGACTGGGGCACAGTCCCAGAGACCCTGGGGAGTTAGGCTACCCAACATGGAGGTGGCTCCTTAATTATTTATATTCTTAGTTCTGCTGACACACAGTGGACACCCTAACTATCCACAGGATTTGGGAACAAGAGCACCAGTTACAGCAGCCATGGAGAGCGAGGAGGGAGTGACTTTCTTTGATGACGGGATATCCCTGTGCACCCTGAGGACAGACGCAGAGCTGGACACAGATCCTGCCTGCCACTCCTCACCCAGGGCTCTCTGGATGGGGTTAGGGTTAGGACTGTGCACCCTCCCATGCAACATGCCTCCTTCTACATGCAATGCAGCCCTGGGGCTCACTACTGAGCCTAACAAAGGGTCAGGCCACATGCATCTAGTCCAACAAGAATTTGAAAAATCCATCTGGAATTTACTGGTCCAGGAAGAATTATGCAAATTTATTAATGATACATGATAGTTAATGTATAGAAGTACTAGAAAATATTTCTTTGCTTGTTTTTGGCATGTGACAAGCTGATTCTCAATTGTTTATTGAAATGCTGAGAGCCATGACCAGTCTAGATGCTTCTGAATAACCGTTGCCAAGACTTGTCCTACTGGGTGTCAGGACTGCTTCCAAAGCTATCATGATGAAGACAGGGTGCTTTCAGCACAAAGAACAGCGGACGTCTTGATAAAGCAGAGGATGCAGCTCAGAAATCACCCACACCTTTGCTGACACCTGATTTATGATAAGCTGGGTGCATTTCAGTGCAGTGGGAGAAGGGATGGGACAACTAGAAATTTTTTTTTTGTGTGTGTGTGTGTGTATGCATGTGTGTGTGTGTATATATGCATGTGTATATATATATTACACATACATACACACACAAATGAATTTGGGGGGATCAGGATTGAACCCAAGGGCACTTTACCATCACCAGGCTTTTTGGTTG